TAAAAGTAAGAGAAAAAGCCAGAAATGCAGATAATTACCGTTGTCGTTCTGCGTGATTTTGGGTCAGTCATGGCGTCACGCTGCACGGAAACTTTGACAATTTCTTATGAATTATCAAATCATTGCATTGTATCTATTTATAATTTCCTATTTCTTGCTACGATACTCTTTCCATGCATATTCCAAAGGTATTGAGCCATTGCAAGCATTGAATAGACGGATGAATGTTGGAAAATTTCAGAAAATGCTACACAGTGTAAAATAGGTTTTTGTCTTTGTTTACATTTCGAACCAGCGCAGTCTTTCGAGCACAGCGTTCGTTTTCACACCCAATATGTTTCGTCTCATTTTATCTAGACAGTTGGCATTGGTGACAAAGGCCAGTTGCAGTTTGATTCTAAAATGTATGGGGAATTCATTGATGCATTTTTCGAAGCTGAATAGGAAATATACGTGATGTAATAGGCGTCTCAATACCGGCCTTTGCGAAGCGTGATTTTGTAAACACTATCAATATGGCGGAAAAGCTCACGGCGTTAAAGTGTAAGTGCATTTTCGAAAACATCCCAACCGATTCTAGATTCATCGGCAACGTTTCAGAATTTTAATTAGCGATTTCATGTAAAACTGATATGAGTGATCATGAATATGTTATTTTTGAAATTCAATACTCCCAGTAATTATCCGATTTTCCAATTTCAAAACATACAGCAAATAACGCTGTGAATCGCGATTTCCTACTGTGTAAAAAATGGCGACATTTTCGATGAAGCCTATTTTGAAAGGTCATTTTTTAGCACTTGAACTTTGTCTAAAATAATAGTGGATGGTATCAAGAAACAGGACATTTCCCGCAGAATTCGAAACTGTGAAGTGTATTTGTGTACGTGGGATATTTTGATTTTTATTGGACTTCAAGTTGAGGGTTGAAGGGGAAGGACATATATGTCCCTGTGGCATCCAGGGGGTTAACTAAACGTCTCCTCACGGTCCCTGGAAGTAAATTACTTAATAAAAGAGACCGGATAACTAAATTAGCGATCACCACATGATCCGACATGAGGGGCGCGTGTCAGTCTCCAGCTAAACAAACATCCTACTTACAGCTCGCTGGCGTCATGCAGTTGACAATACCCTGACAACTGGAGTCCATATTACTTACAAATGTTGTCAGTTATTCTGCTGTATACATGTACATGCATATGGTTGTCATTTGCAGGTTTTGATAAGTTTGGATAAGTAAAATACCTGATAAGTAAACAATTTTGGCAAGTCCCTTGAAATTTTACTTATCAGGTTTCCACTGTATGTAACTCGATCCCTTAACAACCTCATTACAAACAAAACTGAAAACCACTATACATCTCTTAAAAATAAAAATGAAATCATTATCAATAAAGGCAAATACCCAAAACCTTTTGGACAAAAAATACAGGAAATTAAACAAGAACTTGGTTTATATACTACAGAATATAATGCAAACCCATATTACAAATCTCTTCCTCCAGCATTACTGCCCAAAATCCTGACCAACACAAAACTTACTGAACACAATATACTTAATAAATTCACAGTGTAAGAATTCATACAACAAAATTACAATCCACAAGATAATCTTCACATTTATACTGACGGATCCAAGGACCAGAATTGTAATACTGGTTTTGGTATCTACATACCCAAAAAAGCCTTAAATAATCCTATAATCTCCCAGCAAACTCCAGTATCTTCACAGCAGAACTCGCAGCCATAGTTGAAGTGCAACAAAGGCTGAATCACCCCCTATCACCCGCCTGTATTCAAACTGACTTGGAGATTGGCGCCATCCTTGCAGTGGAAAGTGAGTTTCTTGATATCGTAGTGAAGGGATGCTTCTTTCACTACTGCCAGGCCATTTGGCACAAGACTCAGGACCTCGGACTGGCTGTTCAATACAAGGAAGACCCCCGCTGTCCAGACATGGATCAAAAGAGCTGCCGGCCTTGCCCTTCTCCCTGTAGATGGCGTTCAGGACGTTTGGGTTGATGCCATGGAGTCAGCCCCACATGTGCCTAGAGCTACTGCTTTCAACGACTACATTGTCTCCACGTGGGCCAACGATGATTCCCAATCCAACTTATGAATCAACACCTGACAGTCGGACCCCGCACCAACAACAACTTGGAGAGATTCCACAGCAGACTCAACCAGATCTTGCCCCATTGCCATCCAAATATCTTCAGATTCACTGAAGTGATTAAGAAGATTGAGACTGCAGACAAGGCAAAGATTGCTCAACTTGAATTTGGAGCAGCCCCACCCACAAGAAAACGTGTCTACAGGGCAACAGAGAATCGATTGATGAGACTGAAGGACAAGCTTCTCACCAGGCAGAAAGCACCACTGCATTTTCTAGATACTGTTGGCCATCTCCTAAAACTTGCTTAATGACATTAGAATTATCAGACATTATGTTGTGACATTTCAAATTGAAATCAGTGCTGACGTTGTTATAAGACACATAAGACAATATCAGGTATTTTTGAAAAATCATATATTGGTATATAACATGTTATGATATTTATATGTCAATATATTTCAAGACATTACGTGAACGTTTGCAGTCCATTGAGACTGTTGACTTCAGTATCTAGTGTGACCACCACGAGCGGCAATAACTGCAGCACAGCGTCTATGCCAAGAGTGCACCAATCGATTGATGAAGGCCATTAGCACCTTGAACCACACTCTGAGAAAGGCCTGGCGCAATAAATAGGCTGTGTTCGGCCTTGTTATGACATTATTCAGTCTCCTCTGAATTTAATCCAAAAGATGTTCAATTGGTTTTAAATCAGGACTGGCCACCGCATAATGTTGAGACCGTTCTGCTGTAGGAAGTCCCATGTAGCTCTTGCAGTATGGGCCCGGGCGTTGTCATGCTGGAACATGTTGTTCCAGTGACATGCGAAATGTGTTATGAGGTGGGGTTTGAGAGCTTGGTCGATGTAGTGCACCAGTGTGATGCCGCCTCCTCTCCCTGGACCAAGGTTCTGGAACACCACAGGACCCACTCTGGTTCAGGCCTATACCATACCATGATGCTTGCACCTCCCCATGAGTCTCTTTCCATAACACATTGGTCTGAGTAACGCTGGCCACGTCGTCGCCATATTCTTGTTCTGCCATCTGCAGTTGATACGCAGTACCGACTCTCATCTGTGAACGGAACAGTTCTCCATTGCCTGTATCGCCAGTTTTGGTGTTGTAGGGCAAACTACATATCAGGTATTTTTGAAAAATCATATATTGGTATATTACATGTTATGATATTTATATGTCAATATATTTCAAGACATTACGTGAATGTTTGCAGTCCATTGAGACTGTTGACTTCAGTATCTAGTGTGACCACCACGAGCGGCAATAACTGCAGCACAGCGTCTATGCCAAGAGTGCACCAATCGATTGATGAAGGCCATTAGCACCTTGAACCACACTCTGAGAAAGGCCTGGCGCAATAAATAGGCTGTGTTCGGCCTTGTTATGACATTATTCAGTCTCCTCTGAATTTAATCCAAAAGATGTTCAATTGGTTTTAAATCAGGACTGGCCACCGCATAATGTTGAGACCGTTCTGCTGTAGGAAGTCCCATGTAGCTCTTGCAGTATGGGCCCGGGCGTTGTCATGCTGGAACATGTTGTTCCAGTGACATGCGAAATGTGTTATGAGGTGGGGTTTGAGAGCTTGGTCGAAGTAGCGCACCAGTGTGATGCCGCCTCCTCTCCCTGGACCAAGGTTCTGGAACACCACAGGACCCACTCTCTGGTTCAGGCCTATACCATACCATGATGCTTGCACCTCCCAATGAGTCTCTTTCCATAACACATTGGTCTGAGTAACGCTGGCCAAGTCGTCGCCATATTCTTGTTCTGCCATCTGCAGTTGATACGCAGTACCGACTCTCATCTGTGAACGGAACAGTTCTCCATTGCCTGTATCGCCAGTTTTGGTGTTGTAGGGCAAACTTGGTCTGCCAGTATGGGGCCACCTGGTTCCTCTGAGCTGTCTTGAGTCGCGGCATCCTACTGACGTTTTAATGTGAATGTTTCAACCAGGTTTGGCAGTACATTTTTATAGGGCTGGTCCTTGTGAACAGCATGTGCAACATGAGTTGCATGAAAAACATGGAGAACACCGTACCATCTCCGAGATCAGGTTGCGTTTTTGAGACCATTTGCTGGGTTCCATTCTGAGTTTGGGAAGGAATGTCTTTGCTCAGGTAAAGTTGGAGATGTTGTCAAAAATATACAATCAAAACATTAAATGAGTTTACAGTTATCTGTTTCTACGGATGAAATTCCAAACTGACGTTTCTTTTGCTGCTATACTTGAAACTCTACATTTACAAGTTCTCCAGAAATGTTTCAACAGTTTCCTTAAAGGGTTCAAAACCCATATTTTTGGGGACCTGTTATTATTTATTGAGATTTTGCTTTGGCATTTTGTCTATTCTCTGTCGATCAATTTCCAACTTCTGTTAAATGTCAGAAGGGATGAACATGAAATATTTTAGAAAATAGGGAAGGGCATTGGTTTGTTATACCATAAATAAATCTGAAACATGGATAGCATGTGTAGCAACAAAGTGGCATTTGTTTTAGTTCATGCCATTTAAGTGAGAACCATTTTTTTACCCAAGATGATAAAGCAGTTTGACTTTTCTTATAACCAAGTCAGTGTGCCAGATTCCTTCAGTTGATGTTTACAACAATCAAATCAAAGATCAAATCCATCACAAACCTTCATACTTAGTTAAATGGGTAAGTGTGTGTAACTTTGAGCATCTTAATTTTAGTTTTTAGTGTCATGAAAGAGATAAATACATGCATTGTTAGATTTGTTCTCAAAAATTTCCATTGACAATGTGAACATTCCATGCACACACGCACGCACGCATGTGTAATTGGGTATTAATCTTGAACCAGACATTAAAAGTATACATCTCTTGTTTTTGTTTCAGGGAGATGCAGATGGCCGACATTCAAAAGTGATCACAAAATCAGGTCAACATGATCCATCCTTGCAGCTCTCCCATCAAAACAAAATTAAAAGTATGTATCCTCCACATGGAAATGAATCTGGGAGCTTGTCCAGTAGTCCAGCGTTAACAGATACAGGTGACAGCCCAGGTCCAGATCAGTCAAGTTCCACTAATGTTGATCTTGACATCAACATGACCAGCAACACTGGATCAGTCATGTCAGAATCTGCTGTTACATCAACAGGTGGTACTCAATCTCCTTTACTTCCAAATGACCAGCTAAGCTTCAAGTCCAGTTCAGACAATGTACAAGACACATGTGAAAATGAAAGGTTGATGCAGCATAGTGTTGCCAACATGACCTCATGTCCATACTCGTCTTCCTTGTTAAAATCATCTCTGTCAACAGTTAACAATACAACTGTTTATAGCCCACAGTCTTCCATGAGTAACAAAATGATGGATCCTCAAGAGATTGCTGAAAGGGTTATGGCTGATGTGCCAAATGTCAGAGAGATGATTGAAAAAATGCAAGAAATTAGTCTGGTACAATCAGAAATGAACAGTCATCAAATACGACAAGTATCTTCGAACACTGTTTCAAAACAGCATATTTTGTCAATGGATAATAAAGACTTTACAAAGGAACACAGAATTAATTCACCACTCCTTCAACTCAGAAAAGGGAGAGTTCCAAATCCTGCCAGCATTCCAGTCCGAGTACAAAAGAGTTCTCATTCAAGCTATTCACATCAAAAGATAGGAAGGCAAGCAATTTCTTCTGAGGTGCCTCATAGGTCTGATACTGTGAGTAGTTTAGTGCCAAGTGTCATTCATGTTACAAGTGGACAAACTGGAGAAAATAGTGTATCTTCTGACAACAGTGAGGGGGCAGATTCAAATTTGCAGTCTTCTGTATCTAGTGGCTATCATTCAGAGAAAAACTTGACTGGCAATGTGACTTATCATTCAGTGGAAGACAGAAATTCCTATACAAAAGATTTTGTTAACAAAGGTCGCAGCGCTTACAGTTCTTCCTCACAGATGTCATCTTTCCGTCCATACAAGCCTGCTTCTCCATTGATTAGAACAAATGCAGTTCAGAGTCGACCCGATAGCACAACCAGTACAAGTAGCCAATACTCTACATCCTCCTCAGGTCTCTCGGCCATCTACAGACCTATCAGTGAGATAGTCACAACAGCCTCTTCACCTAATCCTTCACCTTTGGATACCAGAAAACTGAAAGAATTTTCTTCCACATCCTTGAGTCATAACAAAATAGATTCAGTTACAAAACCCAAGATGAAAGTGAGCTTTTCTGAATCTGAAACAGATCAGTCTTTCAACACCAGTTCTGAGGACATGTCTACACATGGTATGCCATTAAAGTTTGATGTAAGCAGTACTCTTTCCTGCCCAAAGGGATATGATAAGTTCTTTGATTGCCATAGTATTGCCAAATGTTGTAACAGTGAACTGCCAACTCCAACGGAACCTGCAGTTGCGTCAAAACAAGACTTTCCAGAAGGATATGGCAGTAAACCAGTGACAGACATTGCTAGTGGCCTTAAATCTTCAGGGAAAGTTTCATATCTCGACAAAGACAAGCGTGCTCTTCTGAAACGTCACATGCTACAATCATCAAAGTGCTGACTTTTCTACAGAATGACTGCAAACCTAGTGTCAGGCCATGGTACATTATCTCTTCTTCATAAATGCCTTTTGATATGTGTACCCCCATCAGCATTGTCTTTTTTGTCGTAGTGTAACCATGTCAGGACTCTATAGATGCAACTCTTGTTCACTTAGTTTCAATTTTTATTTCTGTGTTAACTGAGTCGAATGTAGGTATTTATTGTTTCCTATGTTTTTGCATGTGTGTCAGTGTGAATGGCTGACTTTATATTATTGTATGACATGTACATGGGCATGTAAGGAAAATATATTTGTATGTTTAGGATCATATTATATTTGATTATGAGGAATTCTGTATGTTCCTGTATAAAAAGAGATTCAATATATTCATTCATGGAAATAACTCCTCATTCTTACTACAAACAGAACCCAGATTAGCTTATTATAACACCACTGGTGCTTTAAGAGCATATGGTGCTTTTAAGCGCATATGGACATATGGACATATGGACATTATTAACCCGGATAAGCCAAGCTGCCTGTGAGGCACTAGAAGGTTTATAGTCACATCACCATTGAACAGGGTACCCGTTCACTGCCGGGTGAACAGTGGCAATTTTGAATGAACTCCGTTGCCAAAGGTGAGACCACATTTGTACCTAAGTTAAAGTTGTAGAAACTATCAGGAGTCCAGCTGCCAAACACAGTCACCCATCAAGGACTCTCCACAACCAACGATGCTTAACTGACTTGTGACATGGGCCCCATGGAAACGATTTGGACTTAGTCTCAAAAGGGAGGGGTGGGTTTCGTTTCCAGAGCACAACAAGAAAACTGTTCAATAACTTTCAACAAAACTCAGTAGATATATCAAACATCACCTAAAGTGGTGCCTTTTGGTATTTACAGATTTTTGTCCTTTTCATGTTTCATGATTTCCATGGAAACGTCTTGTACTTAATCTCAAAAAGGAGGGGTGGGCTTTGTTTCCAGAGCACAACTCGCAAACCGTTCAATATTTTTCAGCAAGAAATGGTAGACATATCAAACAGAATCCAAAGTTATGCCTTTTGGTATTTACAGATTTTGTCATTTTATTTTTCTTTGTTTCCCATGAAAAGTTTTGGACTTAGTCTCAAAAGGGAGTGGTGGGCTTCGTTTCCTGAGCACAACTGGATAAAACGTTCAGTATCTTCCAACAGAACTTATGAGAATATGTAAGCAATAAGTTAATTTTCACCTCAACTAAGGAGAATAATGTGAAAGTCAATTAAACATTAATGATTTTATGATTGTTACATAACATGATGTAAAGTGAGGTTAAACTTGATGGTACAGCGATACAGTCAGTACATGTGTTCACACATATGTGATGCATATCCCATACTTGGACAAGATGCAGTTACCGAAACAGGTGATAATGCCAGCATCATGTGTTGCCATCCCCCATCAGCATTCAATATTTCCTTTTCACTAAGTGCCCAAGATGTTGTATCTGTCTTTGAAGCAGTTTGTTTCACTCTTGGTGGAGAGCCCTCTAAATTGGTGAGATTATGAACAGGGGAAACCCTCTGATCATGTCACAAACGTGATGGATATGATCAAGGTCTGGACTTAATGCCAGCCATGGTAGAGTTGTGATTGCTTCCTAGAAAGTCCTTCATTGCAGGACTTCTGTGGGGCCTAAAGTGGTTGTCATCTATACTAATGGAAAAAAAAGTAAGTGTGCATAACATAAAATTGTATAATGTAAAAGTTATTTGAAAAGTTATAAAAATAACACTAAAAAACATGTAGCAAAGCACTTTGCATGAAATTTGATGTCATGTATCTCGTGTGGCACGTGCACTTTGTGTACAATGAACTGATTCATTTTTTGCATGCTTTTTGACACCTAAAGTTCACATACCTGATATTGAAAATTGAATGTTGAGGAAAACATGATAATTTCAAACTAAACTGTGTGCACGTCATGCCACAGCTTCCAGAAAATCAGCGTCCGTGCCGTGGGTATGTTGGAGACTGGAATGACACAAAATGAAGAAGCCAGACATTTGAAACACGATCTCATCTCTATTGAGACATTTTCAACATTATTGGAACCACAAGAGATTTTATCTCTGACCAGCTGGCCACGCATGACGTCACGTCAGCAAGACAACCACATTTGGCTGACCCATCTAAGAAATGCATTCCAGACTACCTATTTGACTGCTCGGACCATTCCTGGGTTACATCCAATCAATTCCAGGACTGTACCGAACTGACTGAGGGAGCACAACATCAGACCCTAGACTAAGGCTTAGTCTCTGAATATATATATTTTTCCTTATCCTGACTCATGCTCTTTTGCTTGTCTTCTTCTTCTTGCGAACATAGTGGAACACTTGTATCTCCTTAATTGAAGCTCCCTTCAATGTAAAATCACTAATTGGTACTCACCAAGAGTTGCCTCCCTTGCCCTTTTGGCGGGGCAGGTGTCGCCACCCTCTGGCCTCATGCTTCACTCTCTCCTTCTTCGCCCATTGAGCAGGATGTGAGAGCGCCTGTGTCTCCTTACACACTATATCCTTTGGTTTTTCTTAGTTTATTACCTCTTATAGGTTACTATAGAGGTATAGCTAGTATCCTTCATTAATTTGCATTGATAATTAATCGTATTTCTACTGTTTATTCACGTGAGTTCGTGATTGTTCAGCTAGTATTACGTTGATGAAAATCTGTACTATTTGCAGTTTACGTTTTCTGTTGCTGACCCCGCATGTATTATGCCCTAGTTGTGCTCGCCTTGTGCGTTTGATTCACGTTGCAGTTACTGCATTAATCTATCTAATTCTGCTTTTCATAAATATCTTTGCGTCTTGAGACGTACCGCAGATAGGTCACGCAAACAAGGGTTAGACATGGCCGATACATCGGTTTCCCCATCCAGTCAGCTGCTGTCGATCGACCCCCTCCCGTCTGGTGTTCCGCTAGAGACCCGTCGGAAGAGGGGCGTGGGATGCAGTCCGCCACCTCTAAGAAGCGCCCTGCCTCCCCAGGACGTCCCGATCATCGCAGCCAAAGTCCAAGAGGGCCTCGACGTCTTCTCAACGCAGACTCCGGACCCCCAGGGCAGCGTCGACCTCCAAGGGGAAATCTACGAAGTCGTCAAGAACTTTCTCAGCCGAGATCGTTCCAGCCGCCGAACTGGGCCTCTACGATGATCAGCCGATCATCATCCCTGACGTACGCCACAAGAAGCGGCCGGTGACAGCTACAGTGACATCAGCAGAGATCGCCATGCAGCCTGATGTCTCTACACTGATGTCAGACGACTTCCCTGAGGGCTCAGCCGCTGTCATCGCAGAGAGGGCGCCGACTACTTCCTCGCAGACCATCCCAGACGAGCTGTTGCGGCAGATCATGACCATGATGGAGGGCCACTACAGACGGGAGAGGGGCGGTGGGGTAGCCTAGTGGTTAAAGCGTTGGCTCGTCACGCCGAAGACCCGGGTTCGATTCCCCACATGGGCACAATGTGTTAAGCCCATTTCTGGTGTCCCCCGCCGTGATATTGCTGGAATATTGCTAAAAGCGGCGTAAAACTAAAACTCAGTCAGTCAGACAGACGGGAGAAGCAGCCAGCCCAGGGCCTGAGCAACGCAGACGACACCCCAGAGGCACCCCCAGTCAGCGTAGCAGCCACGACGAAGCAGCCTTCGAGAAGGAAGTAACAGACCACCTCGACGAAGGACCCAGATGTACAGTCTTCGCGAAGGCCTTCGCGAGAGATCGTCACCGTCCTCGACCTCATCCTCAGATGCGGACTCAGACCACCAGACATCACGGAAGCCGTCACGGAGGTCAAGGCACCGCTCCCCAGGTCCGGACGCAGAGGAAGCTTCACGAAGGCCGTCACACAGATCGTCATCGTCCAGAAGGACGTCGAGGGACTACTCAAGAGCTTCGCGAAGCTATCAACATTCTCCTCGCAGATCTCCGAGAAGGTCATCCCATAGACGCAGATCACCTAGACGATCTCCACGCCGTTCACCACGCCGATCTCCGCGTACATCACCACGTCGATCACCTCGCAGGTCACCACACAAGTCTGCACACAAGTCTACAGTCAGGTCTCCCCAGCGTCACCCGACATAGAGATAGCAGCACACAGTTCACCATCAGAAGGGCATCAACCTCTCATCACCAATGCTGGTACAGAAGATGATGGAGGCATCATTTTCTCAGACGCTGAGATAAGATATTGGATGGTAAACAACCTAGATTTATCTTCACCGTCCAAGAGTGGCAACTCAGCGCAGACATACATGATGAAGGAAGACGATGCCGACGTCGTCACCCTACCTCCGATCGACCCGATTGCTGCGGTGCCACAGAATCTAGATACAGCCTTCCATAAAGCCACGAAAGTGCAGACACCACATCTGCCGAACTTTCACGCTAAGAAGTTCTCCACGCACAACATGGACCCCTTCCTGAAGGCACAAGACATCGATGACAACTACAAGCTGATCAGCGATGTTAAGAACAAGAACTACAAGATTGACGATCGCAAGCTGGTGCAGATAGAAACCATGACGAGACGCATGTTTTTTGGCCTAAATAGATCTAGAACGATCAATGAGACACTTATCACCAGATTTCGTAATACGACCTCTGAAGATGATAGGATGATCTACTCGGCCCTACTGATGCAAAAGAAGGACCAGCAGTTCCTTACAGATCATCTCACATCTGTCTCAGCAGCGCTGACCTTAGCTCGTCGTCAAGGCCTCCTCGCTTCCTGCAGCTGGGGTGAGAACTTTACAGCTCCACTCTATACAGCCCCGTGGTCTTCCCCATCCATCTTTGACGGAGGAATAGACAAAGTCTCCAGGAAGTCACTTAGGACTCCAGAGAAGTCCTTATGATCAAGTCGATGGACACGCTAGCCAGCGTCATCAGGCAGACTTCACAAAGATACTCAGGGAGATCTAAGTTCTCGGGACTACAGAAAGCACGGGATAGGAAGATAGCCAGCGCCAGGGGAAAAGATTCTTTTCGTCGCCCATATGGCAACTATAGAGGAGGATCAGGAAGAGGCAGGACACCCAGAGGTTCCCGCAACTATAAACGCTGAAAGACAGGTTCTGAACGACTGGAGTCTTCCACCCCCAGCCGTTCCAGTACAACCGTCACAAGTGGGTGGACGCCTCCACCTACACTGGGAGAACTGGGGAATGTTACAAGACCCTTATGTCTCCAACATTCTTCAACACCGATTTCGTATCCCACTACAGGCCACGCCTCCGCTGACAGTCAACCCTCACAAGTTCGACTTACAGGCACAACAACTACCAAAGTTAAGAGAGGCTGTTACATCACTCATAACCAAGCAGGCCATAGAAGTACTAGATC